CAGAATAAAAAAGCAGAATCAGAAAACCAATATCCACAAGTGATGGCTCTAGAAAACAAAGAACGGAACACACGGAAGAGGTGGGGAGCTACTGGGCTAACATGTGGCATACATCATCCTGTGGAATCACTGTGTGAGATGTTCTTGCTTCACTGGTTTTCTTTGTTACACAGGAGGATTCAGTCTATTGGGGAAAGGTGTTCCCCCTGCCCCTAGAAACGACTGGGACAAGAATAAAGTCATTGAGATTCAGTGTACTTAAAATCTCTTTTAGACCAAGCACGTTCACCAAGAAGCATGACATTAAGCAGGAGCCAGTGCTTGTAGCAGAGCAGACTGCACACACACCGTGGTCAAAAGTGCATGGAACCCCAAAGCACTGACCCTTCTTCCTCAACTTGGTAAGTAATCTCCCCTAGCCCCGCAGCACACAGAATTCAACACCCCAGGCAAGGAAAACAAGGTGGAATTATGCAAGAAAAGGTCCCTGTTGGAGCCCTTTGATTTGGAGATCCTAATATCCAAAATTAATCAACATTTTTAAAGTGCTGACTATGTGGAGAGAGAGATCCTGAAAACTCAGCAAATGCGAAGACCACTCCCACGTGTACAGCAACATCCACTTACTTGTGATAAGTAACATACACATACAACTGGGGAAGGTCTGAACAAACTGCAGGACATTCATGTAATGGAATACCAAGACCCTATAAGGAAAAAGGAGTAGGAAGATTTCAGATAAGATGCAAAAAATCTGTGAAGTGCAGCTAAGTGAAGGAAGCAGAGCCAAAAGAATTCACCCAACAACTCAATGAGGGAGCCCCAGCAATCTAGATCAAGCCTCCAACTACCAAGGTGGAAGCCCCCTGAGGAAAGGGACACCCTAGCAGCTCTAACAGGTCCTCACTTCACTTTGCATCAAAACAAAATGTCCTAATAAAAAACATCTGAAAAAACACCGTAAGCTGTGGGGTGAGCAGAGGGCCCAGGGCACCCTCCAGGCCTTCCCATCATTTCCTAGTATTCGTCATGGGGTAAGGCCCATGGCAGACACAATGTGGAGAAGGAGCACGTAATTTGCTCTGCCTTGGATCATTCCTCACCCACTGCCTTCACCCTTCCTGGCTTCAGGATTTACTCACAGGTGTTTCTGCACACCCAGCTTCCCAATTCATCCACCTCTTTGGCTATCTCACGTCCACTTAAGCTGCCCCAGGAGCTGCCACACCTTAAACGCGGCCATCCCCAAATGGTTCCCTCTCTAGGATCTCGCCCACTAAATGTCTCCTCTGTGACAGGTTCTGAGGCATCCGCCTTCCACCAGCACATGTTAAATTCTTTAACCACTGAATTCCAAGAGCTGCTGGTGTCAGAACGAGTTCCTCCCCACCCCAAGAGCTAGCAGCCCTGTGGTGAGGACCCTCTCTGCACCTACTAAGCTGGCCCTTACACAACATCAACTCAATCGAGCAGGCAGCTTTCTGCTCAGGCCCTGAACTGGTGGTCCACCGGACAACCCTAGAGCTCAGGGCCTCTCACCCCCACACCCCAACATTACACAGGAATCCCTGTTCTCTGGATTCAAATCTGAGTTCTGAATTTATGTGTAACCTTGCACAACTTAGTCATAGCCTTGGGCAAATGAGAGCCAAACTCTATGACATCTGCACCCGTTCTAACAGAGGAAATGATTTTTCTCTGGTCAAAGGCCCTGGTCACAAAGCCAGGGTCGGAACACATCCTCATTGGCTGTTGTTGATATTACTGGATTGACAGGTCCCCCATGCTCATCATGTGTCACTCCAGCCTCCCTGGTGGTTGGGGGGGGGGGTCCATGCTGTCATCCAAAGCAGAGCGCTCAACCCGAGGCCACAGGCTGGGTCGGTACAGTCTTCTGTGGGCTTGGCACAGACAGAGCTTACTGAATTGCTAATACACAGCAAAGTACCAAGGAAAAGATTTCCATACTTAGACAAGAGATTTAGATTAAAAGCACTTGAAAGGGAGTGGAGAAAGATTAAGCATTATTTTAAATAAGCAAAGGCTCTCTTCCTAAGGCGGGGAAAGGTATTTTCTCGAGACATCACAGTGTTCTAAATTATAAGACACCATTTTGTCCTGGAGAAATAAACTGCCCAAACAGATGGTGACATGTAAACAAAAGGAATCCTCTCTACAGAGGAGTGACCATCCCAGTGGAATGCACACACTACTTTAGAGGTGCAGCCTCCACACTTTACCTTTACTGTTAGGCTTTCTATGTTTTGCTCAGTGAGCCTTTAGGATTCATATCACACACACACATTCTGTCTCTCTGTCTCTCTCTCTCTCACACACACTCATTAGCCCATTTTCAATGGCCTCACAGTTGAGTCACAAGCACTAAATGTTGCAGGGGAATTACAACAGAAGACACACACAAATCTAAACCAAACTGTTGATAACATTTCCTCCCAGCACATGACGGAGCCTGCAATTTCACTGAGAGGACTGAGATCACACAAGTTGGGCTCCTTTCTCAGCATCACTGGCCTCCCCAATTCCCTCTCTCCCCCACACTCTTCTGGTTCATTCCCCACTAAGGCCAAGGCCAAGCCTTCTCCCTGCTGGGTCAAACTCGGCCTCAGGCTCTCTCCCAACAGCCCACAGCCAGCATCTCTCCTTTTCCACCCATCTTCAGTACTGCCTCACCCCCGGCCCCTCTGTTATCTGCCGACAAACATGCCCGGGCTCCAGGCAACCTAACAAAATCTTCCCAGAACCCTTCTAGCACCATCAAATTGCTGCTGCTCTTATCTGTTCCCAAAGCTGTTAAACCTCTTTAAAGTTTTCCTTTTTTAGGAATCACATGACCAGCAACATGGAAGAACAGACCTGTGCAAAGCAAAGCTCTCCAACCCAAACCTTAATGCAAAGGAATTAAATGCCACATAGAGTCACTCCAGAAGGGTCAACCCAACAGGAGGCCAGACCCTGCTGACCACCCTCCCTTCTGATGCCCTCTTCTCTCCAGGGTTTCAGGATACACCACCCCCTCCCCTGGCTTTCCTTGTCCTTCTCTGATGGCTCCTTTTCTGGATCCTTCTTCAGGTTATACCCCCTAACTGCAGGTGGTCCTGGGGCTCTGTCCTGGGCCTTCTGCTCTTCTCCCTCCATACTGCTTTACGTGGTGATCTCATCAGCTCCTGTGGGTTTAGTTATCATCTGCTGATTCCCATATCTACCTGGCCTGCTCCAGTCTCTCTGACCTTCAATCTCCCATGTCCTACTACTTTTCAGACATCTTGAACTGGATGCCCAAAGGACATCCTAAACTCAATATATCCTAAACAAAACTCTTTATCTTTCTTTTTCTTTTAAATTTTTTTTTGGAGGGGAGGCAATTGGGGTTACATGACTTACCCAGGGTCACACAGCAAGTGTCTGAGATCACATTTGAACTCAGGTCCTTCTGACTCCAGGGCCAATGCTCTAAGCACTGCACCCCTCAGCTGTACCATTATCTTTCCCCCTAAACCCTCCCCTCCTCCTGCCTTCCCTAATACTGTCCTCCCAGGCCCTCAGGTTTACAACCAGGAGTCATCCTGGATTCAGCACCATCTGTCACCCCCAACATCCAAGCTGTTGCAAGGCGAGTCATTTTTCTCTTTGACATTTCTTGAATAATAAGTCCCCTTCTTTCCTCTGCTGCTGCCCCAACTCTGGGGCAGACCCTTATCACCTCCCACTGGGACTGTTACAATGGCTGCTGGTCGACAGCCTGCCTCAAGTCTGTCCAACTCCAGCACATCTTTTACTTGACTGTCAAACTGATTAAATAAAGCACAGATCTGACACCTCACTCCCCTCAGTAAACTCCAGTGGCTCTCTATCACCTTCAGGATCAAATATGAAATGCTGTTTGGCATTCGAGGCTCTTCATAATCAGCCTCTCCTACCTCTCCACTCTTCTTACACCCGACCTTTCCCCAAGACCATAGGCTTAAATGACCCTGGCTTCCTTGCTAGCCTTCCAACTCAATGTTCCATCCCCAGACCCCCAGTGTTTCCCTGGCTCATCCCCATGCCTGGAATGTTCTCCTCCCCCAGCCTCCTGGCTTCCTTTAGGTCGTAGTGGAAATCCGGCCTCCTCCAGGAAGCCTTTCCTGGGCCCCCATCATTTTAGTGCCTTCTACTGACTACCTCCCAAGGGAATCTGTGGGTCTGTCTGGACAGGCTGTTTCCATGCTGTTTCCCTTATTACTCTCCGAGCCCCTGGAGAGCACAGGCCCTGTTTTTGCCTTTCTTTGCATCCCCAGCAGAGTGCCTGGTATGTAGTAGATGCTTAATAAATGCTTGTGGAATGGCTGGATGATATTCTGCATCTTTGTTACTGAGGGATTTCACGGGAAAAGTAACAAAGTCACAAAGAACTTCAAACTCATTTTAGAACCAACCACGGAACCATCGGTCCATAGGCTGGTGACCTTGAGAAAGCTGGAGACGCGGGTCATCACAGGCATCCTTGGGGAGAGAGGTCGGGCCGGGTGGCCCACCAAGGGGGAGAGGGCGATCCCACTAAGGAAGATCTCAGACCCCCTGAAATGCTACAGGGACGTGCGACCAGGCCACGAACTGCAAGGGCCCCGCCCCAGGGCCCCACCACGAGGGCAGGGCAGCACAGGAGGTGGCCTCCTCGCACACTGCTGGCGCTTAATAAGCATTCCTGGCCAGATAACTGCGCCACCCTAACCCACTTTCTGAGGGGCAGATCCCACCCCAGGGAGGGGTTTAACAAAAAGGGGTGGGCGCGCGCGAGGACGTCCCCAGCCGTTGCCGTGGAAACCTGAGGACGAGGCCGAAGCGCAGACACAGAGGTGGCGTTGCCCGGCAACGCGGCCCCGTACACCCGGCACCCCACCCCCACGGAGCCTGCACCTGCTACTTCCCCGCGCCCTCTCTGCGCACGCGCACCCAGCGCCCCTCCGCCCGGCCGCGCCCCCCCGCGAGCGCTCCCATACCTCCTTTTTCTTCTGGGCCACGCTCGGGGGCGCGCACAGAAGCAGCAGCAACAGCGGCAGCAGGAGCGCGCAGCTCGCGCCCGCCAGGCCCCACCGCCACCGATCCCGGCGATGCCTGGTCGTGCTGCCGCCCCGCGGGGACGGTCCTGCCGCCACCGCGGCCGCCTCTGACCTCGGCGCTGCCATCGCCCGAGCTCCGGTGCCCCCGCTGCCGCTGCCGCCGCCGCTGCCACAAGAGTCCAGAACCGACCGTCTGACCAACAGCCGGCACTGAGGACCGCCCCGCCCCACGCCGCGCGCTGAGATACAGGAACTGCGCCTGCGCAGTCCAAACCCAGGCCCCGCCCCGGCTCCTCTTCCGCCCCACCCCCTGACAGGGAGGCTCTATGACGGCCCGCCTCCTGAGGCAGGGTTGCTCTCTGACTCCGCCCCTTCCTCACCAACTCTATAGCCCTCATTTCTGGCCCCGCCCTGTCATGGCGGCTCCTCTCCAGCCCTCTTCAGTCCTTCCAGTTCTGACTCCACCCTTCTTTGGGTGACACCCCTCCCCCACCAGCCTAGGTGTGACTCCGTAGATGATTCCTCCCCCCCATCTTTGGAGGTGGCTTTTTGTAGAGAAAGTCCACTAGGCCTGGGTGTGTCTGTGTGTGACTCCTCCCCCTACCCTAGGTGTGTCTCTCTGTGACTCCTCCCCCTGTCCCCTGGGTGTGTCTCTACGCGAATCCTCTCCCCAAGTTCTGGGGGCCACCTCCAATAGTCCAGATCCTTATCAGGAGGCCACTGAACCCATATGGCTCTGGAGGAGAAAGTGAGGCTGTGGACCTTGCACAGCCCTGCCTCACTTAAATCCAATTCACTTGCAAGTCAAGGCAGCACTTCTCTGATATCCCTTCCTGATGTCACGGTCCGCTTTGAGATGGAAGGTCAAACCACAACCTGTGAGTAGTATGGGCTGTCCCTCTGGGGTCTAAACTGGCCACTTCCACTTGGGCAGCACAGCCCTTTCCCTCCTTCCTCCTTTCCTTGTCTTCCCTTGCCTGCACTCTTCCTCTGTCCACATGGGTATCACACCCTTACCTGTGGGTGCTCTGCTCAAACGAATGTAAATCTTAATGGCTTAAACCTAGAAAGATATTTTTAAGGTTTAAGGGCTAGATTTCTTTCTCGAGACCATGCCTTAAGACCTTTCTTGAGACCTTGCACAGCCCTCCCTCACTTAAATCCAATTCACAGCATCACCTTGCTGATATCATGATCCTCTTTGAGAATGGACAAGCAGTAATAACAAAGCCCCTGATTCACATGTAGAAAGCACTGGAGGTGCAAACATACAAACCCGAGGGTCCCAGCCCTCAGACTGAACTGGCTTCAGGAGGCACTGCAGAAATTCTAAGTTACTGAGAGTCTTGCACACATACACCATCTTGTCCCCACTCACATGGCGGCCACCACCCTTGTGCAGACCCTCATTGTATCCCAGCAGCTTCCTCCTTAGCCTCCTGCCTCCAGTCTCTCTCCACTGCCACCCATCCTCCAAAGTGACCTTCCTAAAGCTCAGGCCCAATCGTCACACACACACACACACACACACACACACACACACACACACACACACCCCATTCAGTAAACTGTATTAAAAAAATAGGCGACCATGGAATATTTTACCTGTTAGATTTATGGATGAGGGAAGAATTTATGACTGAATAAGTGATAGAGAACATTACAAAATATAAAAGGATAATTTTGGTTGCATCAAATTTGAAGGTTTGCACAAACAAAACTAATGCAGTCAATATTAGAAGAAAAGCAGGGTGCTGGGGGAAAATTGTATAGCAAGTATCTCTGATAAAGGCCTCATTTCTTAAATATATGGAGAACTTAGTCAAATTAATAAGAATATAAGTTATTCCACAGTTAGTAAATGATCAAAGGATATGAATAGGCAGTCTTCAGATGAAGAAATCAAAACTATCCAGTCATATGAAAAAATACTCTAAATCATTATTGATTAGGGAAATACTAATTAAAACAATTCTGAGGTACCACCAGATTGCTAATAGGAAAGGAAAATGACAAATATTGGAGGGGATGTGGGAATTGGGACAATTTTGCTGTTGGTGCAGTTGTGAACTAATCCAGCTGTTCTGGAGAGCAAGGTGGAACAATGCCCAAACAGCTGTAAAATTGTGTATACCTTTGATCCAGCAATACCACTATTAAGTCTGTATCCCAAAGAGATTAATGTGAATGACTTAACTATTCTCAGCAATACAGTGATCCAAGAAAACTGTGGAGGACGTAAGATGAAGAATGCCATCCATCCCCAGAGAAAGAATTGATGGTGTCTAAATACAGATCGAAGCACACTTTTTTAATTTTATTATTCTTGTTTTGGAGGGGGGTTTTTTGTCTGCATTTTTGTTTTTTACAACATGGCTAATATGGAAGGAAATACGTTCTTCATTTGTACACATACAGTGTATGTCAAATTGCTTGCCTTCTCAATGAAGGGGGAGGGGAAGGAGGAAGGGAGAGAACTTGGAACTCAACGTTTTATTTGTTTTTTTCTTTTTTCTTTTTGATATAAATTTATTTATTTGTAGTTTTCAACATTCATTTCCACAAGTTTTTGCGTTCCAAATTTTCCCCCCATCTCACCCTGCCCCCACGCGAAGATGGCATGCATTCTGAATATCCCTTCCCCTAGTCTCCTCTTTCTTTCTCTCCCCCTTCTCTTATCCCCTTCCCCTTCTATTTTCCAGGGCAGGATAGACTTCTGTACCCCATTTCCTGTATTTCTTATTTCCCAATAGCATGTGAAAACTTTTTTTTAAACACATGTTTTTAAAACTTTAGGTTTCAAATTTTCTCTCTTCCTTCCTCCCCACCCACCCTCATTGAAAAGGCAAGCAACTCAATATAGGTTGTACGTGTGCAGTTATGCAAAACACATCCATAGTAGACATGTGAAAAACTAACTCTATTTCCCTTAATCCTATCCTGCCCTCCCATTTATTCTATTCTTTCTTTTGACCCTGTCCTCCTCAGAAGTATTTACTTCTGATTACACCCTTTTCCAATCTGCCCTCCTCTCTATCATCCCCCTGCTCTCTTGTCCCCTTCTCCCCCTATTTTCTTGTAGGGTAAGACAAACTTCCATACCCAATTGAATGTGTATGTTATTCCCTCCTTAAGCCAAATCCTATGAGAATAAGATATATTCATTCCCTCTCACCTTCCCCTGCTTCCCCCTCCACTGTAAGAGACTTTTCTTTTTTCTTTTTTTTTGTGAGATAATTTACCCTATTCTACCTCTCCCTTTCTTCTTCTCTGAGTATAATCCTCCCTCATTCCTTAACTTTATTCTCCAGATATGACCCCTTAATCTTCAACTCACCCTGTGCCTTCTATCTACCTATCTATTTATCTATCTATCTATATACATACATGTAATTTTTTTCCTCCAACTACCCTAATACTAACAAAGGTCTCATGAGTTATAAATATCATCTTTCCATGCAGGAATGTAAACAGTTCAATCTTAATAAGTCTCTTATGATTTTTTCCTGTTTACCTCTTCATGTTCCACTTGAGTCCTGTATTTGAAAGTCAAATTTTCTATTCAACTCTGGTCTTTTCATCAAGAATGCTTGAAAGTCCTCTATTTCACCGAATGACCATTTTTTCCCTGAAGGAGTATACTCAGTTTTGCTGGGTAGGTGATTCTTGGTTGTAATCCTATCTCCTTTGCCCTGGAATATTATATTCCATGCCCTGTCCTTTAATGTAGAAGCTGCTAAATCTTGTGTTATCCTGATTGTGTTTCCACAGTACTTGAATTGTTTCCTTCTGGCAGCTTGTAATATTTTCTCCTTGACCTGGGAACTCTGGAATTTGGCTATATATTCCTAGGAGTTTTCCTTTGGGGATCTCTTTCAGGAGGAGATCTGTGGATTCTTTCAATTTCTATTTTGCCCTCTGGTTCTAATATATCAGGGCAGTTTTCCTTGATAATTTCTTGAAAGATGATGTCTAGGCTCTTTTTTGATCATGGCTTTCAGATAGTCCAATAATTTTTAAATTCTCTCTCCTGGATCTATTTTCCAGGTCAGTTGTTTTTCCAATGAGATATTTCACATTGTTTTCTAATTTTTCATTCTTTTGGATTTGTTTTACAGTGTCTTGATTTCTCATAAAGTCACTATCTTCCAATTGCTCTATTCTAATTTTTAAGGAAGTATTTTCTTCAGTAGTCTTTTGGACTTCCTTTTCCATTTGGCCAATTTTTCTTTTTAGGGCATTTTTCTCCTCATTGGCTTTTTGGACCTCTTTTGCCATTTGGGTTAGGCTATTTTTTAAGGTGTTATTTCTTCAGTATTTTTTTGGGTCTCCTTTAGCAAGCTGTTGACTTTTTTTCATGATTTTCTTGCATCACTCTCATTTCTCTTCCCAGTTTTTCCTCTACTTCCCTTACTTGCTTCTCAAAATCCCTTTTGAGCTCTTCCAAGGCCTGGGACTGATTCATATTTTTCTTGGAGGCTTTGGATGTAGGAGCTTTGACTTTGTTGTCTTCTTCTGGTTGTATATTTTGATCTTCTTTTCACCAAAGTAAGATAATATAGTCTGACTCTTTTTGCTGCTTGCTCATGATCCCAGCCAATTACTTGAGTTTTAAACTCTTTGTTAAGGTAAGAGTCTGCTTCCAATGTGGGAATGTACTGTCCCAAGCTTCAGGGGTTTGTATAGCTGTTTTCAGAGATACTTGTAGGGACCTGTAAATTTTCAGTTCTTCCAAGGTGGTATGATAAGGGGCGAGGTGTTTACTCCTTTCCTGGCCTGTGACCACAAGTATTCCTTTCTGTCCTGTAACTGTGAGGAAGGGTTCCTCTCCACAGCCACTGCAAGCTCACCACGCCAGCGTTCCTCCTCACCCCAGCACCACCGCCCAGAACTGTGACCCAGATCCAAACAGGGGTAAAGCAAGAGATTCCTGCCTCAGCACTGGCAAAGAGATCCCTGCAATCCCTCTCTGATCAGCCACTGGATTGCCCCTCAGTCTGTGGGCTGGAAGCTCAGGAAGCAGCTGCCCCCCCCCACCACTGCTCTTGGGGAATGAGCTGAGACCCGCCTTCCTTTCTCAGCACCAACAGAAACAGACTTTTCCCACTGACCTTCTAAGTTGTCTTTGGCATTAGTGGGTTGAGGAGTCTGGAAACCTCCACAGCTGTCCAAGATTCAGTCCTCTGAGGCCTGCTCCAGGTTTGCTGTGGCCTGCACGCCCACGCTGCGCTGCGCTGCCAGCCT